AGGCTTAGATAGTCTTTTGGGTAGCGGATGTTATTCAGTAAGGATTTTAACAACTCACTCCATGCATATTATCGGGTGACCGTTGTCATTTTCATTGAAACAGATAACGGTTATTAAGCCATTGTAAATGGATAGATTCTAGAGGACAGAATCTATTTTACAAGGAATCTGTTCTCTGTGACCAACTCACATTTTCGTAACAAATACAGAACAGCTGGTGACTTTTTTAGCATAGATTTGGTATAAGATTAAATCTTCCAGCTACAAACTTTACATTCTTCGAATCAAACATTTGCGAAGATGTAGCGATGCAGTAGAATATTGTAATTTATTCCCTACATAGAATGCACGAAGGTTTATCCCAGAACGTTTCTTATTAACTTCCCATTCCACCGTAAGACGACACACCAGAATCCTTTTACGAAACGCTCTCTTTCCAACCAAATATTTGTAATGGATAGCAGCATACGATGTTAGTACAATTCAGCTAACCTTTTAGCAGGTAGATTTTTGTCCTGCTAGGACGATTAATGGCTAAACTCTCAATGCAGCTAGGCCACATGAGTAGCCGAGCTTACCTTACTAGCCCCGTGTATCTGTCCACCGTTTCTTATTTCACGATTAGAAAACCAATCGTAAAAATAATGGCATGGAGACAAACATGTCATCGTATTATCAAACGACTTTCAGAGAGGGCGCCAGCTGGTTGTCAGAGGATTACACGTCAGGAGGTCTGAAATGTTGGTTTCTATCAAGAAAGTATAGAAAATAATGGAAGAAAACCTCATATAACCGCATCTCATGATCGTAATTCCATTGGCTGTACGGGGTTCGCCGGCGAAGCTATACGCGGAGGTACGCCTAAGAAGCTCGCAATTGAATTTTACCTAGCTCCAGATATCTACTATAGCTATTTACTATATAAATACACTACAAAGACCTGCTTATTGCCCACTTTTATCTGCTCTTACTCGTACTTTCTCCTATTATTTTTCATTGCCATCTACGTTCTCCTATCGGATTTATTCCTAATGAGCTCCTGAGCTGAGCCTTTGCAGTGAGCAGTTATGGCTGTTTCTACCACTAGTGAATTATTCGGAATTAGCAAATTGATCTCTAATACGTAAATTATAGCTCATCTAGTCACATATTAAGACGCGCAATCTAGATCTACCAGAAATAAACAAGAAGTTCTTTTTGTAGAATAAAACGAAAGGGAAGATTCAGTCTGTCGTAAAGAAAACAGTAAGGCTTATTGTAGTCTAGCTGTGCAGAATTTTTAAAGCCTAAAACGGTCAAAATAAGGGCATACTTCAACAGGCGACCTGCTTCCCAAGATAGTCTCATCACCTTCTTGTCATAAAAGTGAAGCGAAAACAATCAGCTTATAGTGCGAGTCTAATGAATAGGTCTGATAGGGCTTTGCCGAATGAAAAAAGTCACCGGGGAATACAACAATGTCAACAAACGGCTATAATGGATTCTTACTGCATACGTAAAACTTCTTTGAGGCTTACACGTACAAGAAAGCTATTAACAGATCTTACCAACGTTGGATATCAGACAAATCAGAAGTCGTAACCATGAGGACTTTAAGAAAATCGATAGGAACATAGATAGGTTGCTCTAAATCCTACGCAAGCTATATTACACAGTTTAGAAGTCTGTGTCACTAATCTAAAATCTGGTCACTGGTTCCAGAGAGTAATGCATGGGAGGTAATTTTTTTTAACTTTATGTGCTGTATAGCTGACCTTTCTGAATTACGCTAGGACAAGAAGGTGTGGCTGTGGCCAGGAAATAGGCTTTTTACACCAAGAGAACGCCTTCACTGAAGTTCGTAAACCATTATTTTTCGTAGGGCTCGCTATTATATTTACAATACCAGAATAACACACGAGCAGGCCATAATAACTAGCTCTACCACCACGTTTATTATTTTGTTTACAACGACTTCTAGTTAATCCGCCATATCAACGATCTCCGACGTATTTGTCATGCAAAATGTGCTATTATGTCAAATAAGACTCACTGAGCTTGATTTGTTTGAACCGCTGGACAACCAGCTACAATGAATTCGATACTTCACTATAAAGCCGCTGCATCCGCCGCGGAAGGGGTTCACTGGTGTTTTTATCCTTCTCGTGTCCCGGCGTTGAGGTATTTACCGACTGACATTCAGGTCTTCTATATTTCACCGTTTCAAAATACCATCGGTAATAGTGTATACGCTGAAACAATGGCCATCATGGTATATTCGAAGTACGCAAAACTCCATGAATACATAGTCATGTACAATCAAAGTAAGGCTCTAAACGGAAATAAAGCTGTTCAGTCGGCTTTAATTACAATTCTAATTACGTAATAAGTATTCTATTCTTACCGACGTTTTCAGTTACGACCTGATAGTAGTCATTATTTCTTTATTAGCTATTATTAAATGCACCTAAAGTCAGGTGGCTATGTCTTCTCGTGTTTGTCTCACTGCCTTAGCTAAGCTTCGCTAACTGAAACCAACAGAACTCGCAATTCTGCCTAGCTTCGAAACTATGTAAGTGCACACTCGAATTGGTTTCGTATTTATGCCTGAGCCGTTGTTGTTTGTTAATGCGGAAATGCAGTCGTTCATGTGGAGCCGCTTTCAGCAACAACCACGTAGTGCTTATTTCTTTAAACCTGCGCACAGATAGCCGTCATGGCGAGATTCTGTACGCCAGCAAAATACTGCATGAGCGCAGTCTGCGCACATATACCAGGTGTGTACACGTTTGGAACAGCACATAGTGTAGGCCATACAACTTGTGTAAATAAAGCAAATTGAATATGTATACTACACGGCCCCATTGCTCATTCTACAAGTTTACCTTTTCCAAGGATCTCTTTCGTAGGTCGACAGCTACACACCCATCGCCGGACCTTTAAATAACTCAACCAGCCTAGCTGTTTCTTATAAGCTAGACGGATCGAACACAATCTCGTTGAACAAACAGTCTTCCTAAATCCGACATATTCCAGCCACCTCAAGTTTCGATGCTGTACAGGCGTTTGACGGATTCGTTCGTATCTTTATCTCAACAGAGAGATAAAGAATATGGTGGTATGATTGACAACCAAGGCTAATAATACAGAAGACAGCTTGAGTTCTCCGAGAATGACTTGCAATTTTAGCTAATAGAAGTTACTAATAACGGCCTCGTTTTGCCGCACATATTAGTACAACTTATAACGTTGGCCGGCAACAAAAAAAGAAACTGTACCATCTATGACGCTATAGATTTTTTGTATAAATTTTTCTTAGCTCCGCCTGTTTTTGAACTCAATAGCCGTGTTTCTAAGCTATCTACGGGCTTTCCAGGTCTTCAAATAATTTCGAAACCTCCAAGGCTTCCAAGTGTCCTACCTTTTAAGCCTACTGGCACACAATGTCGTATTTGATGGACACACGCTTCGACGTATTTTCGCCGAACAACTTGCAAGACAGCTTGACTATCTAGCAACATAATGACACTTTTTACTCCACATAGGTAGAAGCATTAGGTACAGCAAAACTTAATGCGACAAAAAAGAGTCCAACTTCTTCTCCTTCGATATCCCAGAGCTGCTTAGGAACCACGAGCTCCAAGATCGAGAGAAATAAATGCTCTTGTCTTTGATAGAAGGTCATAGAAACCAACTGGGTATACCCAAGCATTCATCCGGCTGACAAATGTTTGTATTTTTCAGCGGTTGCGTCCTATCTTCTTTTTAAGGTGCAGATCTAACCAGGCATTCAAGCAGCTTTGATACAGGACCTTTGAAGGCAGAAAAACAATACTTTAAACGGCCATACCGCATTTCTAGAAATTCTACCTTACCTTTTATGTGGTGCCCCACACAACACCACATGGAAATCGTCCATTAGTGCACTAAAATACAATACGCGGTTGTTTAAGCATTTGTAGACACTGTATATCATTTCCGCTACCGCAATCCACCCTTCGCAATCGCCTTACGAGTTTAGCAGCTAAATCTTCAATGAAATACTACAAAAGGTTCCAGAACAGTGGTATTGAAAAAACTGTAAAATCTCTTCACGATTGGCGTCTAGAAAATAGGGCACTTTGCCAACAATATTTGCTGAGTTGTTGCCACTGAGACGAGGGAATCTCTTTTTAAAACATGGCAATTATTCGAAAATACAACAAATTGTGCTTCTTTCTTTTTTATTACTTGCACATTATTGGACTAATTAAAATCACTTGCTTATCATCTCTTAAATCCAGCTGCTTAAGTTCAGCTAAGGTTTGAGTCGGTTAAATAATCGCACGGCGTTTAAGATAGAAGCGCTGCCAGCTTATAGCTGCTGCTGTTACCCACGTAGCGTCCTCCCACAACTAAACCGCAGTTGAGTTTTTAGGTGTTTGAGTTTGTGCGGTCACATCGACGAGCTGCCTTGTCTCCCAGCCGCTAGGTGTTACTTTGTAGAACTGTAGGCTCGCTATGATCGTTTGAGACGGAAATAATTTGCAATTTAAGGGTTTAAGGATAACGGCGCAGCACGATCTACCTAAGCTTATGCACGTAAGTTTTGCTCTGGTGCGACCTTTTTCTAGCAGAGTAAGATAAACACTGCCTGCAGTTTTATGAGAACTGATTTTAGTATACAGCTAAAACATGCACAAAGAAGAATCGATACAAACGTTGCAAACTGTAAAAATCGAAAAAAAATCCATTGCGAGGAATATCCATGGTGAAATCCATACTGTATCTTTCTCCAACCTCTAATACATTATGTTGTTTAATACTTAATCTACAAAATAAACTACATTTACGTGTGTATGTTGTCACGGCCAAGAAAGCAAACAATAAGTAACTGCTAGTTTATAGATAGGGGGTAAAAGTTCTAGCCGTTATACGTGTTATCAGTCTCCGGCCAAAAGCCTAGTAAAAATAATGTATATATATATATATATATATATATATATATATATATAATTTTTTTTATTGAATTGTTTTTCTAGGAACTGAACTTGGGAGGATGGAACGAAGAATATTACGGTTTGGACTATGTCCATGCAACACTGGCACAACCCCGACAACCCACATCTATTCTGCCCAACGTCAGCTTGTAAGAGAAACATCCGACTATTCGTTAGAAGCTTTCTCATCAAATAGAGCTCTATGGCAATCTGTTATGATTCTGAAAACCATGAAATCGACCGCGCCCTACATAAAAGTACGAAGTAATTCTCGTTGTAATGTTAAATTTCCCCCATATATCAAGCCGTACCTGACTAAATTCCCTTTGGCTAAATTCCACTTTTTGTTGAAATCCTCTGTGGCACGTCGTTTCCACAGCTGTAATAATATGCTTATCACAGTGTGGCTGAAAAAATGACACGATCATAGGGCATGTCATGCATTGTTAAAGATCGATATAATCTGCATGTGTCATGATTTTGTATGTATGTTTAATAATAACGTGCTTCTGGATGGAAGAATTCAACCTATATATCTCCAGGAACCCTCAGGATATGGTATGAAATAGCATTATAGTAGCAGTGAATATAGTGATAGTCAAGCGCACAAGGAATAAACGTTATATTGATGAAAATGTCTCCTGTATATATAACTATGTAGCCAGTTCTGGTGCTTGCTTGGGCCTACTAGGACTGACTGGCACGCATATTTGTTAAGTTTTCTGCGATAAATGTTCTCACTATAGAAGAAATAGGCATTATCAAATCGTCATCCTGCTAACAGATGGTACCATATGGGCTAGTCATACCGCCAATCTTGCAAATAGCTCTTGATAAAGCTCGTTTAATTATGCTATATCTCTATCCATTATTTATTCGCCTAGTAGCGTAAAAATTCTTCATATATTAATTAATACAATTCCAGAAGAGGAATTAGGATTATAAATCGAGAAAGATTCGGCCACTGAACGAGATCAGTGAGTCGCCATGAAGTCGACATGAGAGCCAGTATGAAGTTATTGGTCGGCAAGAGATCGATGGCAGAACTGATCCGAAAAGCAAAATCGAATTAGCTGACCTCTCAACGTTGCGTTTTTGCCGTATTGTACGTTTAACATTCTCTGTATATAAACATACTTGGAAGGGTTTACTTTTATGGTCGTGGCATAAGTGAGAAAAGGCGGATCGGTTATAAAATCAAGTGTGCATCGGAATAGTTCGAGCGAACGCACGCAATCTATGATCAGGCCAGCTTTATTCATAGACCCATTGTGCTAGATAGAGCAGAAAACAGTCAGCTGGTCTATCTGTAGGATACGAACACAGCATACGCGTCTGTGCAATTGGATTCACAGAAGCTTGCGAGCATTTATCGTCCTAAAGGATTTCTTATGCAGACTAACCATTAAGGCTAATGTGGCTTTCCTTAAAGGGAGTACCAAATGCTAGCTTCAGCTCTTTTTTAATATATCTGCGTACTGCTAGCCTAAAATACAGTGAAGTATCTGCATCTTCTCAATGACCGTTGTTTAAAATGCAGCATAATGATCTTTGTACCTACGTACATGCATGTAGGGTGTTTGCAACAAACTGGCACGCATTTTAGCTGGCTGCCTTCACAAAAATAACACTTCATCTGGTACTTTCAAGACTGTAAGAAGACTTGTTCTTGAAAGAAACGCGACCTTGAACTCATTATAGCAGAAGGTCAAGTTCAAGGAAAAGGACCAAAGGTCAGACATTATACGATGTCTTCGTCCCCTGACGAACTGCCAGCAAAACCATAAACTTCTTTGATTGCCGTCAAATTTCCGGAATTTCAAAGCCGGAAAGCTTCCAATAAATTTTCAGAACATAAAAATAAAACAGAATAATATTGACGTTACCTGTTAGTAAGCTGAATTCAGGTGAGAATAGACGTCAAATAAAGTTGGTCGCGTATATTTGGTAGATATCTGATAGATGTGTTTATTCGTTATAACTACTATTCGCTTGGAGCACCACGTTAGCTCGGGGTCATCAATCACAACGTCGTATCACGATAATTATATTCACAGCTTTTTAATAAAGAACAGCGAACAGAGCTGAGGGTGCTTATACTATGGCCCGATTCAAATAAGAATTGCGAAACGACCATAACTCCTCGTTCCAGAATATGCGTTGACGTCCAGCCAGCGTGCGAGCTATAAACGAATGGTAAAAATGTATGGTCCAGCACATACCTACAATCTTATAAAGAGTTTTTAGAATATCCAAATTAGTTTCGTTGATAACGATCACCCATTTTCTTACTGAGACATGATGTAGGCTTTACGGAACAGAACAAAATAAACTTGGTTCGAGTTTGAACTACCAACTACAACACGACCGAGGGATATTCCCTCGGTCGTGAGTAATCCTGTGGTTATTCCTATCACGGATGTTTGCATACACAAGTAAAAAGGAATTTGGCATTACCGAGGAAGCAAGGGCGGCATGCTGCTCCGTGCTTAAGGAAACTCTGAAGCAAATGATATCGATCAAAGCCCCTGCTTTTTTTCTCCTGTTCTGCCTGCTCTAGTTTAGAGAAATCTGATTCTGTGCTCAGCAATCGCAAACTAAGTTTACATTTCGGATATTAAAATAGCTGATAAGTTCGGTGGTCAAAGATGTTGGACAATAGCTGGTCTCAGCTTGTGGCCTGTAGATAAACCTCCATAAAGAGTCCGTTTGGCTGTCGTGATAGATGTTGATCCTAATTTATTTCAACTACCCTGTACCTGTCTGCAGTTAGAAGGCCGAATTGATCTGAAATCTGTTAGAGTCGACTTCTGTGTGATGCTATCCTATTTCAATGTATAAGATGTGATCCTTTACGAGAAACCTCCGTTTTTGCACAGCGCCTTTGGTTTGAAGTCGCGTATTTTGTCCTTTGACAGCGCCCCACGAAGCGCAGCTTCAGATCAATTAAAATTATCAAATCGATTCGAAAATCAAAATTATTACGAATATTCCCAAATCTGTGTTAAGTGACCTAAGGAAAAACTATACCGCTTGATACTTCTACGCAGAAATCGATGTTTGACCGTTTCGGTTACGAATTTTGCAAAGCGTTTCTATACGTTAGTTTTTCTTAATTTACAGATTTACAAACCAATAAATAATATCAGCTAACGCTAACCATTAAACTCAAAATGATATTGTATTTAGTAGTTATGGCTGTGTATTAGTTACTGTCTTACCTTTTGCCCACAGTCTCTGCTCACGTCGCCAGTAAAAAGCTTACTCAACATACACAAATATATATATATGATGGTAGCCCTCGTGACTACTATATATCAATGCGCCCTGTGGACGCATCTAAAAAACTGATCAGTGATTTTTAAGTGCGGAACAAGAATTAGACTCAGAATTGTGATATTCCGTATTGTGTTCGAGCCACTTAATTTTCCTGAATGAGAGGTACAAGACCTCATTTGTTTCACGGTATGCCCACAACCAAGAGAACAAGGTTCATGTTACTCATGATCTCTTATTTGCCATGTGAAGTACTTCACGGTGACTTATTCATACTGGTCTAGCGCCTCACTAGTTCGCCCATTGCTAGACAGAGGATACAGCTAAAAATGGTTGTTATTTTTTCATTTTGCCGGTTGATGAGCAACAGTTGCGGTAGTGTCTGCTGAAGTAACCTGCATAGTCTTATGAGAAATAAATAAAAAATGTATTTAATCAAGTGTGTTTACTTCAAGTCGATATACCTCGTATAAGAGCTCCTCCAAAACTCTTTCGCACATATTCGATTTTTTCCTCCGCGATTTCGTTTTTTGGCTGTTACAACCAGATTTACAACTCTCTCAAGCTTAGCGTCTTCTTTTCAGTTGCCTTTTCCCCTACCCATCATGGCTTGCAATATCCACGAGTCTTGTTTTTAGGCAATGCTCTACCATAAAACTCTAGTAATTAACGTCTGTCAGCGTTTCTAGTGAACAATTGAATTTACCAACTTCTCTAAGCAAATATGCATTACTAGCAAAAAAAAGGTTCAAGATTACACCAGGCCATCGTCTAGGTGAGACCTTGAATCACACCGCTGTATTTCAATACAACTAGATAATAAGCAACTTGGAAATTGTAATTCTAATAATAGCACGGACTAATAACACGCACTACAGCTGGAGAATTAAGGATGCGCCTTTTTTTTTTTTTTTTTGATTTTTTCTTTGAGGTGAGTGAAATAATATACTGGATACTTTTCTCGCAGTTGCTATCTGGAATTACCCAGTTGCTCGTTCGCACTCATAACCGGTTCCGTTTATCTAAGGGCGTCTATTCTTATTTCGTGCCGGTAGCCTCTTCGTTCACGGACAGAAGCTCCACTGCACAATCTCGTACAATCGCTTCCTTATCATCTTAATAATATAATGTAATAAGCTCAACCTGCTGTGTCGACAGGCAGTTGCCGTCCAGTTGCAATGGATGAGCCGTCGAGCGCCAGCTGGGTCGCCAGGCCGCTGGGGCTGGGTCGGTTCTAAATAACCATTATACTTCCCTTCATACTTCCGTGTAGGGCACAGACTGAAATAGATGTTGTTCACAATGGAACACGTATAACACGGTCGTGACTGGTTGTCTTCGTACGTACTATGCTCGGTTAGTCGGTGTGCATGCGCATTGACTTGTGGCGGTTTTTTTTAAAATTTTCGAAATCGTTTGGTTTTTTCAAGCCGCATTAGCGATTATCATTCTTAATCAGCTGTTATGAACTTTTTTCAAAGTTGTATTGTTCGCGCCTCAAGCTGGATGGGTCAACATGTAGCAGCTACGCGTCCAGAAAATATCCAGAGAAGCGCTGGGCACTCTCTACCCTTTAGAGCATGTTTTACAAATCATGCAAGAACGAGATCAGGTATAGATAGTATTTGCCTCAGGACTATATGAGTGCTGCCATTGCTGCACAACTGACATGCTCAACGAAAGTAATTTTGCGTGATGCAGTGATCATCGTGCAAATACGATCGTAGTGCCGGTGCTGAATAGGCCATCGATCAGCTCCAACGTAATGAAGGTGATCATCACGAAAGAGTTCAGTAACTCGTGTGCAAACCGCTGTTGGCGCTCTTCCACCTACCGGCTTCCAACTGAAGTGCCATACATTTCTGAAGGTTTG